GAGTCCTGCTGGGTCACTGCTGGTGCCCACTGACACGCCAGTACCTCAGCTCTCCCCCCGATGCGACTTTCCCAACCTGCTCAGAAAGCGTAAAAACTTCCGCCGGGATTCACTCTCGGAAGGGACTCTATCAGCTTTTCCCCCTTAAGTTTCCACCCTGGGTTTAGCTGTCAACATCTGGCTGAGGAGTAGCTTAAACATCTGTAAAAGGGAGCAATCATCTCCCTGGGTTCCCCCACCCGTGTCCCCTCGGTGCATCTCTGCTCCGGAGCTCACGATCTCCTTCCTTTGGCAGTCCTGGCTCCGGAGGAGGAGGAACTGGTGGCCATGGAGGTAGGCTCGCCCCCGCTGCCGAAGAAGAGCGCTCCCGCCGGGCAGCTGGATCAGCCCCCGAGCAGGATAGGGACCAAACTGTCTCCTGAGCCGCCTGGGAACAAGCCAGAGCCTCAGGACTCCAAAAGTGAGTACCTTCCCCGCGCCGTCTCCTTCCTCAGGTGGCCGAGCCGCAGGTTTCTGTTGTGACGAGAGGAAAAATACCTCGTGTTAGCTCTTCGCTTGCGGCTTTGCAGCAGGGAAACAGTGCCTGGGAACCTGCTGTCCAGCTAGACTGGGCCTAGAACCCATTGTAGCCTATTAAAGCTGGTGTTAAAGATATGCTGGAGCTCTTTTATATAAAAGCATTGGCGTTTTTGAGGCCCAATCCTGCTTGTGGCACTGAAGCACGGGTGGCAGCTGGTGGCCTTTCAAGGCTGGTGCATCTCAGCACTGAGATGTTGAACGGTCTTGTGTCAGACCGCAGAGCGCACGAGGGCTGTTCCTTGTAGCATGCGTTATGCCCCAACCACGGGGATACGGTGCCTCACGGCACTGGATGCTGCAAGCTTGGGATCATGGAAAAAAAAGTGGGAAAAGCTGCGCCCAAAGGGCTCCCCGTGCTGGGCGGCGGCAGGGCTCCAGGCTGGTGTTTGTTTAACCTGATCCGGAAGGCTTTTCAAGCCCTTTTGTTGAATTCCCTTCTGGAAGAGGCCGGCCACGTTGTGGGGAAGTGTGAGGAGGTGAGTGGTGAGTTGGAGGAGGTGAGGGAATGCTTTCTGAAGCTTGCCAGAACCAACACGAGCTTTTTGTCCTCCTTAGACCCCTTCAGTCATCTCCTCCTGGGCGTTCTACTTTTTGCTGGTTAACAAGGTTTCCAAAAAGGCTGTGGGAATTAGGCACTCCTCAGACCCTCACTGCTGGGCTCCAGAGCCTTCTTGTGGCTCGCGGACCCCTGGCACCTCAAAAATGCATCAAAAAAGGTCCCCTTGAGCAGGGAGGCCAGCAGAGAAGCCTCTGTGCACCCAAGGGAAGCGGTCTCTGTCCTCCCACGACTCTGCTCTGCTCTTTCTTCCCTAACTTATCCCTGGCTGCTGTGGTGGTGAGCAGAGGGCCTTGATGTATGTGGGAAGGTGGATTGGGGGTGGTAAAATCTCTTGCAGCATGGCGGGATGCGGATGCCAGGCTCGGACGGTCAGCGTGCCTGCGAGGAGCCAGCCAGACGCTGCTCCTGGTGCCTCCCGCCTCCTCCTTGCCCTGACTTTCTCTCTCTTTTTCCGCTTGTAGCCCAGAACCTTACGACGTGCGAGGTGTGCGGCGCCTGTTTCGAAACCCGCAAAGGCCTGTCCAGCCATGCCCGCTCTCACCTGCGGCAGGCCCGCGGCCCAGCCTCCTGGCGCTCAGCAAAGGCGGCGACCGCCCGTCTGACGGCCCCGTCAACAAAGCCATCAAATCCCCCCCGGGCTTCTCAAAGAGCCTCTCGCAACCGGGCTCCCCCATCCTCAAGAAGGTGCCGCCCACGCTCTCGGGGTCCCCGTCTCCGAAAAACCCTGAGGACAAGAGCTCCAAGCTCTCTCTGAGCCCTCTGCAGAGCTCCCCTAAAGCCCAGTGGCCGCAGGCGGACGAGGAAGGACCCCTCAATTTAAGTGAGTCTTTTTACCTTTGGTGTTTCCCCTTAGGCCTCAAGCGGGAGAGCTGGGGGCAGGGGGACCCCGGCGTCTTCGGTCTGGCTGTCGGCAGGCCGGGTGTCCCTTTGCTCGATGTTTGCGAGGGCGCAGGCGCCGTTTTCCAGCGTAGGTGCTGGTGGTTGCTAGCAGCAGTCGGTGGCCTGCAGCGGGAGATGCTTGCTGCTCTGTCGCGACCGTAGGAGGGGGATCATCATCCCCGTCTGGGTAAAGAGGGGCTCGTGTTTGCTGCCCGTTGTGATTTCAGTAAAACTTTCTGCTCGCTGGCTCTCTCTGCCCCCGAGCTCTTTGCGTCTGTCTCTCTCCAGCTTGGGACCAAGCGTGCCGTCTCCTCTTATAAACCCCAATCCCTCCCGCAGCCACGCTCTTGCGCACGGTCCCTCTACCTGCTACTTCTCTCTCCTTGCTTGGCAGCTCTCTGCTCTGCCGTTCCAGGCTGCGGCGTTACCCTTTTCGGGCTGGCCGTAGCTCTCGAAGAGCACTGTGCCTCTCCCGGCTCGGTCCTGCACCCGCTGCGTCTCTAGGGAGGCAAAGGGCTCTCTGGGTGCGACGGAGAGCGCTAGGAGGCTCCCCGAGCTGCCAGGCAGCTCCCCACAGAGCGCGGGAGGGTTTTCCTGCGCCTCTGCAGCACGCTTGTGGTTGATTTGGTGTAGTGGGACCCTCTGCGGCAGGCACAGCTCGGCAATGCGTTGAGCTGCCCGTTCCCTGCTGCCATCTCTAGAGTAGGATGCGAGGTGCCTCAGCTCTCGGGACCGGAGTCCTGGTGCTCTCCCTCTTCATCCATAAGCTCCGTAGATAACTTGTTCTGATACACTGAGACGGGAACGACTTTCCGGCAGCAGCTGGCTCTTGCCCCCTTCTCCCAGAGCTTTGAGTCTTGCCAGGAACCTCTCGGTAAATGCACTCAAAAGAGCGTTTGGTGTCTCTGGCCTGTTCAGCCTTCATCCTCATTGCTGGGCCTCCCTAGCAGAGCCATAACGCTGCTCTGTGAGTCCAACCCGCTGCCGGTAGAGGGAACGGCCCATGTCCGGGTTTGTACCACTGCGAACAGCTAGTCTAAGCACTCAGTAGATCCTCCTGTGGCTGGAACCAGGCTTTGTGGTTCGACCCTGATGTGAGAGAGACCGTGGAGAGCACGAACGTCTGCTCTGCTGCCTGCCTTGATCCTCTCGCCCAGTCTGGGCTGAGACAACCCAGGCAGCTGGGTCCGAGCCGCGCTTGTGAGGGTTTGGTGGGCAGCAGAGGTATCTGCGCACAGATTTCGGTCACGAGTTAGCTGCTGTCCCTGGCGTCTCCCCGCTTGCTCAATGCACAGCCTCGCACAGAAGGACCTGCATGCGAGTTAGTCCCGCGCGGATCCCGGAGTGGCGTTGGGAGCCCGGCTCTGCCCGTGCTCCCTCCTGGTGTCTCGGCCAGCCGGCTGCAGGAGTAATCTGCTGGGCTCATGGTGTGTACATGGGACAGACCTTGCGCGCTGTGGAAATTGCCAGGCTCCTAGGACGGTTCCCTTTAGAAATCATACTGTGTTCGGAGTCGTTTCCGGTTGCAAAGCAGGCTTGGATGAAAGTGTCCTGGTGTTTGCTGCGTTTGGTCCTTCCCTCGTACCAGAAGTGCCAAGTGCAGCTTTACGACCCAAAGTCTCTCAAATCCCGGAGGCTGGGGATTCGCTAAATCCGCAAGGCTTCTTGTTGCTCTTTTTGGAGCCGTAGGGCCATAAAGTCACTCCGTGCTGGGTAGCGTCTTGCTTTTCCCAACTTGAAGCTCTCCAGCATTGCCACTTTCTGACAGCTTCCAAGAGCCGGGGCTGGCGCTTCCCGCGACGCCAGCTGCTTGGCAGCTTGCGGGGAAGCCTTTAGCTGCGCCCGTAGGTTTGCAGGATGCTCTCCAGGCGCCGCTCCTCGATCGGCAGACAGAAAAATACCGTGGCTGCTCTGTCACGTTTCTTGAAGCCTTTTAAAGGCAGCCGTTGCGCGCTCTCCGCTCACCAGTGGGTAATGACGGCGAAGCAGTTTGCCCCTCGCTCTTGGCCAGCGTCGTAATTCCTCTCGGTTAGGGCTGCCCGTTAATGAGGCCGTAGGAGCAGAAAACCTCATCGCTGGCCGGTCAGGCAGGGTGCAAGTGGTGCTCGCCGGACGCGCTCCTCAGTGACCGTACGTATTATGATGAATGTGTTTTCTTTCCGCAGCTGTAGATAGTGACTCGGGCAAAGACATTGACTGCCAGTTATGTGGCGCCTGGTTTGAAACCAGAAAGGGCTTGTCCAGTCACGCTAGAGCCCACCTGAGACACCTGGGAGTGGATGACCCAGATGCTAAAGGATCGCCAATTGATGTTTTAAATGACCTCATCAAAAGCGAAGACTTCAAAAGCCGCCTGGCCTCCCTCCTCCCTAGCGAGAGGAAACCGTTAGGGGAGGCTGGGAGCCCCCATAAGCCCAGCTCTAAGAGCCCAGCTGCAGCGGCTCCCACGGCAGATACGAAGCCACCACTCCCACCGCGGCCTTTGCGCAAAGAATCAGCAGATCTCCTACCTCCTTCCCCTCCGCCGGCCAAGAAACCGAAGCCGCAGGGGCACCGGCTGTCGGCTGGGGCCAGTCTGCGCGGTGAACAGGGTCTTTCTTCCAGCGCCTACTGGGCTTCGGATGCTGCGATGCCTCCGCTCAACATCTGTAGGTCCCTTCTCGTCGCTGCTTCCTCTCCCTGCCCCTCGCCCTTCCCAGCCTCGCTCACACGGCGCCCGGAAATCCAGCCGGCCCGTTAACGCTTCCGTTAGGCCGCGGCAGGGATTAAACGAGCCTCCTGCCCACGTTCCCTTCTGTTCCTCCTCCTATAAAAATCCTTCTTGAGCATCTTCTTGCTCCGCTCTCCCCTGTGTGCCGTCTGCTGCCACCGTTCCTTCCTCAGCGGGCAGGGACGGCCACGCGGTACGGCTCGGTGCCTGAAAGCGCCTGGGAAGTCCTGCACGTGCTGGTCTTGTCTCGCCCTGAAATTATCCGGTCTGTCCGAGGTCTCCCTCGTTCCATGGATTCAGGCCAACAGGCCCATGGCCGGTGGCATGGTCTAACCCCTCTTCCGGGCAGGGATCTGTCTCGATTTCCACCCCTGTGCCAACGCAGCAAGCGGGGGGCCTTCTCCCTTCCCCGAGGGAGGGCAGACAGGGACCGGTTAAGTGGTGCGCGCTCCTCCGTGAGCTGGCGGGCAAACGCCGCCGGGCTGCTGATCCCGAAAGCAGCCCGTCGCAGAGCGCGTAATGCTCGCCGCTGGCCGCTAAGCGTTTCCCTCCAGGCCGTTGCATGGCTCGGACCGCAGCTTGCTTCTGGTGGCAAAACTCTCGTCCCGCTTCGCGTTCCTCCTCTCCGGCCTTGGAAACGGGCCGAGAATTGGCAATTCCCGGGTCGTGCCGTGGGCAAGACCTTTGGGAAAAGGGCTGAGGCGGCGCCGCGTTTGCAGGTCGCTGGGATTAGCAGGACCGCGCTCGGTTTTAGGTGCACGGCGCTTGGCCGGGCACCGGGAACGTGTCTTCATCTGAGGCCCTTTGCTCTTCCCGCTGGACTCCTCCGCACGGCAGCAGCGCTCGGATGCTGCGGCATGAGCAGAGCTCACCTTTCCCGATGCACGCGCAGGCCGAGGACGCGAGCGAGCGTGTTATCCCCAGGCTTATGGAGCACGGCTCTTCCTTCAGCCCCGCCGGGGAGGCGTCGAGCTTCCCCTACCCGCTGTAGTGCTCTCCTGGGAGATCGCACGACGGTTTGAGGCCGCTCGCTTCCGAGTTGGGTCAGGGATCGGCTTCGTATCAGCCGCCGCGTTGGCTTTGGGCTTTTCCCGGTTCTCGCTGGCGTCCCGGTGCTGCTGGGCTGCATCCGTCTGTCCTGCGTGTCTGCCTGCCCGTCTCGGCCGGCTGGGGGGACCGCGCTCAAACCCGGGTCTCTCTTACGATGCAGCTTCGGGGTCGGCAGCGGGGCCAAACAAACCCAGTGAGGTCAGGT